TATATAATTTTGTGCCATATAAACACAAATAATGCATCCAGAAATGGCAAAAAACTTCACTTCTAATAAATTAGATAACTATAATTGTCAATTACTCAGCTCGCAGCCATGAAATTATTGAGAGTCAAGCTGAGCTAAATGATTAAATCTGATTTTTTTTCTGCCTATTCTTCACAGGCACGAGGGGCTGGTCCTGGTTGCTGGGCAGAAATACACACCAGGAGTTACCGGCGTGGGGTGTGAAATTCAGTTTTACCTTGCACGATTTCTTGCTGGTGGCAGAGCCAGGCCTCGTGTTGCTGTTTAGCTGTGAAGAACTGGAGCTAACTTCATCGTCATCATCCTCTTCTTCATCAAAGTTCATACTACTGGATATACCTGAAGACAAAAAAAAAATAAAAATAAAAAAAGTAAAGACCATAAAAGGAGGCATCACAGCCACTGACTTTGAGTCAGTCATGTTTCAAACTCCTCACACAGCTGAACTGGGTCATCATCGTCACTTCAATCACCCTTTAATGGCTACCTTCACTAAATAATCTCCCTAATTAAACACAGTCATACATTAGAAAATTTTTACTATGAATATCAGTTAATACATCCTAAAAAGAAGAACCATCCTTCCAGGGGATGAAAACATATCCATCAGAGCAGAGGACCAGATTGATGTGGGTGTACATGCGTTGTAAGAGCTTGTAGTCGTAAATGAAGCCAGAATACCTTTCTTTAGCATGGTGACACGCAGGTCCTGTTTACTCTGGGACTGAGTGCAGCTCATGACTGGCTCTGACTCGCCCTCCTCTGTAGTCTGATGTCCCACTGTCAGGATCTGGATCTGYCCATCATCCTGCTGGGCAGCCGGGCCGTCGGTCGATGCTGAGGCATCAGCCCACAAGGACAAACAGTCAGAATGTTGTTCAACAAACTTTYCTTCTTTTTATTACTATGCATGTGTAACTAAACAAAACCAGGACAGCTYTTCCCTTAAACTGAGACAAATATTCAATGGTCATTCAAGCAGCTGATTGGATTATGTCTGTTTTAGGTGTGTGATATGTTTATATATTTAATTATGATGTTTTCACTTTGACATACAAGAACTAAAACCTCTGAATAATAATTTTATTTCTTCTTTTTCCTGTTGTGATCCGTTTCTTCAAACTCCAATTTTCATTTGGTGTTTAAAACTGAAAGATATGATATACATCTAAGAGCTGTTTGTTTTAATAGAGGCAGGCTGACCTTTGTGCTTCCCCTTCCTCTCCTTCTTGTCGCTGCCCGTCTGTGGAGTGGAGCTGGCCGATGCTTTGCCTTTTTTAGCTGAGCGAGGCAGCTGAGCGTCCGCTACCACCTTCACCTCCTCCCGTTCAGCTTCTTGCACTGAACACAGAAATGCAGAAAACCAGCAGCACATTAGGATGGACAACAAATAGAAATTGAAAATAAAGGTTTAAAGAAATTATGGGTGAAATGACTAAAACCTTTGACTAAATAATATTGGGCTCAAAGTAAGTAAAAAATAAGGTCAATTTTTTTCTTTTCTTTTTTTTGGCCACACTGATTGACTTTATTCCCCCTCCTTGTTTTGAATTKTTGAACTGATGCAGATTAATGTCAACATTTTCCTCTTCTCTTGGCAGGAAATGAGACAACCCATGGCCTCAGGACCAGAAACTAGAGATTAAAACTGGGAATTAGACACACGGTTCCAGTTTCTGTGTAAAGATAATGACTTCAACAGTTCATCAGACGACCCTTATATACCTTCAACTCTTGTTTGCTTTGATTTGTAGGCAGCTGTATWCTAGGGTTGTGTACTGGCAAAAAAATTGGTGATATGATACACAGTGGTGGGCACCACTACTGTAATCTAAATATTACTTGCACRAACCCTAAAGCACTAACTCAAATATTTAGGTCCCCTAATTCTAAAGTACTAACGCACTGAAAATTTTAGCAAAAGCTAATTCTAAAGCACTAATATAATCCAGTTGACACATGAAATATTTTTCAGAGTCAACACGAGACAATATTTACTGTGTGCAAAATAGTGTCTAGCCGGGCCAAATGGGAGTTGCCCGCGGGCCTTAAGTTTGACATGTGACCTTGTAGATAAGTGACACACATATGAACAAAATGTATGTSAGCTTTCACCGTCAACTGTGAACAATAATGTTGATCAATAACATTTAAAGACCTCAGTTAGTGCTTCTAAATTTAGTCCATAAATTTAGCAAGTGCTAATCCACAAAGAGCGAAAGCCCTAAAGCACTAATCAAGAAATGAGTTCTCCTATTAGTGCTTTAGGGGAGCTGTGCCCACCACTGATGATACATATCATGACACAAGGGTCATGATACAAAAAAAAGTGATATTTTGCAATAAATTGCCACTTCTTTTTTCTAAAATTTCTAATAAAAAAGTGTATTTTATATGATTGCTCACAATGATAGTGTTTGAGCAGGTGTTAAACTCTCTGTTTCTGGCTGAATGCTGCCAACTAGTGGTCAGAGGCTAAATTACAACATAAGAATGAACTCCTGGCCTGAAAGTTCACATTTTAAGCCACAATGAAAAATTTATACAGGGATTTGGAGAATCGATGTAGTAACAGGAAATGAAATATCGTAATATTTAAATGAATTGATATTTTCTTACACCCCACTATATACAGTGCATCAGTGGCTGTAACAGAAATGTTGATATGTAAATGTTCGGACACTACATGACAATATTTCTGTTACTGTAGTGCAAAGATAGTATAATGTTGATTTGAAGATGGCATTTTCCATCACTATTCTTGTATTTTTTTGTACTTTTTTGCCTCCAAAGTTTGCCAATTCATGATAGTCTTTTTTTATTTTTCAACTGCAAAACCAAACCATTTACCACTCCACTCCTGTGCTTTAGTGTTTCAGTTTATGAAATCGCAATCCCAAAATACTGTTTGTTGTGCCAAAAAAGATGATTAAATGTATTTAGTTCGCACAATAAAATGCATCAGTGCATATTTACAGTGCTGTTATTTATGATGAGGTCATGAAAAAAAAAAGTTGTTTAAGCAACATTTTTCAGGTCAAATAAATCTCTGCAAAAGCTCTTTWGCAGCAACACTGAAATTCAAAGCTGCAAATCTTTTAGACAGTTTTTATGATTTTATAAATCTCAGCCTGACCCTTGTGTTCCTGTCAGCTGTTTATTTAATCACATTATGACCAGACATTCAGCAAGCAGTGCACTTTAACTCAGGGTAATATGCAGCTGCATCATAGAATCACCCCTTTGGATGTTGAACAAATGGTTGAGTTTAAGTATTTACAAAGTGTTGAATTTTGAATCTTATACATGAGTCTTCAAAAAAAGCACATACTTACCGTGATAGATGGTGCTGCTGTTGCTGCTGAGGTACGATTCCACCAGTGGAGCCTGTTCTTCACTTTGTTTGGTCCGACGAGTCCGAGATCTCCCGTCCACATTAGACTGGACCATCAGAGGCTCTTGCCTCTTCTTCTTCTGTTTTTGTTCAAGGAGTGCTCGCTGACATTTTATTTAAAATAAAACAGAGAAGGAAAGACAAGATAAGATAACAAGTGTTAGCAGATAAAACTTGTTATATTCTGCTTTCACACATTACTACACAGATATATGTAAATTCAAAACTTTTACCAATATCACCCCATGTGTGACCTAAAGAAAGATGTGCAAATGGTGCAGTATAAATGTTTTTTGACCCTTAAGCTGAAAAACTTTAGAGAACCAACGAGAAAATATTGACTAAACCGAGTTTTTTTTATATTGATTTTCGGAACTTTGTTGAAAATCAAGCTGATCTTTACAGGTCTCAACAGATCTTTAATTTTACCCCAAAATGGCTCACCTAAATGTGCTTTCATCAAATAAAAGAACAAAACTTCATTGTTCCTCTGCAGAAAAGAAAKTTTCTACTCTGATTTGACTAACAATATAAATAAAAACAAGACTGCAGGAAAAGAAAACTAGCAGTTGTCACTYTACTTGGAAAAGATGTTAAAAAGCTCTGCCTGAGAAAATGTTGTTACTGTGTTGATGCTGACAACAAATAATAAGAGCAGCATCAGAGGAGGAAGCAGCCAAACTCCAGATTCTGCTGCACTTTCTAGATGGGTGGTTTTACACAAACACCTGTTAAAACTTGTTGGAGTAGAAATGTTAGACTCAAAARATTAAGCATTATGTTAGAGGAACGACGGGGAGATAAAGTTGGGGAACCAAACTGAAATCATTGGACATGTAACGGGTATGTTGGTAGGAGGACGTTAATGATGCAGCTGCCAGGAAAAAGACAAAGACGAAGGCCGAAGAGGAGAAACATGGATGCAGTTAGAGAGGACATGGAGGTAGTTGGAGAGAGGACAGAGGATGCAGAGAACAGAGTGAGATGAAGGAGGATGYCTCGCTGTGGCGACCCCTGAAGAGGGAACAGCTGCAAAAAGAAGACAACACTTGAACCAATTCATCAGAATGACTGCTAGAGAAATAACTATAGAGCCTACATTTAATTTTTATGGAGGCAGAAACCCCTTTGTGATAAAAAGGCTGCCCTGATACGATTGATTTTCTCTTAGTGTTTCCTTGTCATCATGAAGAACAGCTGAGACTCACCTGTCTGTCCAGTTTCTGCTGTCGGAGGTTTGTGCCCTCATCGTCTAAAGTGCTGCAGAGAAAAAAAACAACAACAACAAAGGAGGAGGAATAAAAACACTTAGATTATTCCTCAATTTTTAGAGTTTCACATGCAAATCATGTTAGAAAGCATCACAAAGATTCATTAACAAGACATTTGTTAAGCAGAATAATTTATTTGGTTACAAATGATCAACAATTATCTCCTCATTACTAGCTAATTACGCTGAACATTCATCTGCTTTTTCAGCAAATGTTTGTTAAAGATCGTTCCAGCTATTTAGAACCCTAACAATAATCCATTTATAAATACAAAGACAACCACACACGTTTCACCTGCAGGAATCACCAACTAAACTAGTATAACTATGTGAGAAAGCCAGTGAAACCTGAACAAAAAAACCACCCAGGCAAAGGGAGAACTCCACACAMACAGGCCTTTATCACGCTTTGAACAGAAGCCCATTTTCTGTGAGGCAACAACTGTACCACTGTCTGAACACTGAAATCATCTGGCTRGATTTTATATATAAATATACACATAATAACAGATAATGAAGTTAGCCATCAAGGAAACAGTGCACAACAAATAACTTTGATGCTTTCTATTAGAAGATAACACAAAAATGACAGATGCAAATGGAGATGACGAGAATGTGTGTGAATTTAAAAAAAAAACATGAAAAGAGAAAATATAATTAAACTGAAGCACAGGGTGAAAATAAATTATCAAGTCATTTGATTAAAGCTTACTTGATGAAAACAGTCATTATGTAGTGAGAACAAAGCCGTGCACCAACATGCTTTGTGCAGCTGCTGCATTCATTACTCGTTACTTTAGAGCCAAAAAAAGAGTCAATTATCACATTATGTCCCTGACTTCAAGACTGAAAGTTTAAAATAAAAAAGGGAACAAAACTGACTTCATTATAAATARGCTGATGAACTAATAAAGTCACAAGATTAACGTACAAAAAATGTTCTGTTTTAATGACTGCTATAAAATAAATCACTCTGTGCCTGATGACAAATGTGTGGGCAGGCAGAGAACACGTACCCAGTGAACACCCCCCCCCCACCACCAAAAAATAAGGAAGGGAAAAAAAAGAAGATAACATTCAAACAGCTAATTTTGTCTCCCAATCTTTTTTTTTTTTGCTACAACTACATGTTTATAACACATGGTCATACATACATAATATATTCTTAATAATTCTAAATGATAAAGACTGGACTGTTAAAAATATGAAATTTTTTAGTAAGAAGACTTTCACTTTGTTGTTCTTGAAAGTTCCAATGTTTTGTTGTGTTTTGTTTTGTTAACTGAAGATTCTTAT